AGCAACCATAAATCTCTGCAGAATATTCCAGTAATTGAACAAAGTATCCAATTTATAGAATAAACTATCTATATTGATTTGATCAGTTATTTGTTGCATCCAAAATCTGTTTATCTTTATGTGTATATGCATGCAATTTTGTTGTATCATTTTTGAGTTTCCCTAAGAGAAATGTGCCCTCCGTTTATGCTTCGATTTGTCCTAATTGTAAGCCTAATTTTACGAAACGAATTCGTTCAATTTTACAATCTATACTTATATTTTTGTTTAATTTATACAACAAAAAAAAAAAACAAAATCTTCTCTCTAATGTTTTTATATATCCAATTTGTAATTTTAACGAATCTCCTGAGTACAAGAAACAAATCCTTTCTGCCAATATTTCAGTTTAGTGTTTAGTTTTGTTTTGAATAAAGTGTGTCTAAGTATAAAGAAACTAGCTAAATATTGAACTTACAGCGATGATGAAATAAAGAAATATATGAATTTGGCTCAAAACACCAACAAATCATTTTCAGCTGTTAGCCCGGGGACCATTTGTTTTAATTTATTTTCTGTATTATATCGTTTAGAATGTTTGCTAAACGCTAGGCGTTCGTTAAGACTTAGAGGAGTACGTGCGTTTAGTAGATGCCCAGAGATTTCTCCACCACGGCGTGAGGCTGACGCATATGCTCGTTGTACTCGGGCAGACCCAAAAAGTCCTCAAAATCAATGTCTTCATTGCGTCCAGTCAGCACATCATCCATGAAGTTGCTAAAACGGACAGCACATTATAACAAGGTTCACAGAAATAGTATTGCCTATGGCAATCACTTACCTGGAGGGCAAGAAGGGCAGACGTCCCACCTGGCGTGCGGAATGACGGTCCATGCCCATCTTTAAGGGAATGCCCAGACCCTCGCGATTGCGCAGCATCTGCATATGGAGCGAATACTGGTGCTCGTTGTAGTTGGCCTCCGAGTCGCGCAGACGATGCACATGGGCCAGTTGATTGAAGCAGTTCTCCTCCGTGGGCATTCCCACTTTGCCGGAAGCATGGAGCACCGTCAATTCGCTCGGCTGCACTTTCAACGATTGCTGATTCTATGCGGGGGACACATTCAAACCGAGTTAATAAACCTCCTGCATAGTCGCAGTGCATTACTTACCATTTTGCTTATAATTTGTATTCAATTTGAACAGGGTTTATAGGGAATTTGTGAAATTTACAAAATTTTTGTTGAATGACAATCAAAAACAGCGCAAGTGTGACCGTGGTATCGTTTATCAAATATATCGTCTATCAGAAAAACACCGAAATATACCTTCACATTTTCAAAATATACCATAAATATACTGAGGAACGCACACAAAAATATCGATTAGGGTTGTGAAAAACATCGTCAAGGCAATTTACAAGTGCTATAGCAGTGAGTCTTTGATGAGGAGTGCAATATACAATTTGCGCCAAATTCTGAATTTGAATTTAGAGCAATCAAAGGAACATATTACAATTATTTGTTATTAAAAAATCATTACATGTTCAAATTACATAACAATTTTTTTTATTGCATCATATGTTTTTTTACTTACATTAATTTTATTAGCATATTTAGCACTTTTGTCACTGTATGTTGAAGCAATTAGCTTTCGGCAGCGAACTAATTACACTTGGCGCCACAATTGATTTTGAATGAAGTCCTGAAAACTAAAATCATAGAAATTTGATATTATTCCGAAATAATATATTCTGAAATTGATTTTTAGCTGACTCGCTTGGACTCTTACAATTCAGTTTTGATTTAGAAACAATTTTCTGTGCGTTTGTCTATGTAAATTCCGTTTATTAGCGTTGTTAGCACTTTTGTCAAATGACGAACTTGAGTGTTGTGATTAATTACACCCTCGCCAACACAGCTAACCACACAGAAATATCAAAAAACCACACACTGGCACGCACAGACGGGCACAATATGACGACTGTGGGGCACGGCTCTAATCAATTCAATCAACATATCGAATCAAAGCCCCAAAACAAACGCCAAATTTGTTGTTTTCTTTTTTCACGCCCACACCTTTTAGCGGCTTTTATGATCTACTGCTCCACAGAGCAGCGATTCATTTGCAGTGACAAAAAAAAAAAAACAAAAAAATGGATAGTCCAAGCCGAGCCGCAGTCGACAAATCACACGACAAAGTTTAATTAGTGCATGGTCACTAATAAACATTTCGTTGCTGGGTTGCTGGCACAATGAATTTGGTGTTAATCAAACTCCCGCATACAATGGACACAAACTGTCTCCGGGGCGGCTTTTCAGACACCATCCGTCTCTAGTCGTCTGATCGATCTGAACTTGAAACTGACAAAACTAGAAATACCAAAACAATAACCGGATAAGGTTGGGAATTGTTTGGAAATCGACACAAATATGCATGCAAATGCAAATTTTGAGTTGAGGTTGAGGTAGAGGTAGTGGGGCTGTATATTCGTATGGTTTATGATTTATGGATTGGCGTCTCTTTATTGCATACTTGGCGAATTTTGAACATAATTTATTCAACGTTATGTGTCTGACTTTTATTATTATGGCTGCAAATAATAAATACATTTAAATTCAAATAAATAATTAAGAAAATAAATAGAGTATAAATAAATAATTATAAATAAATAAAAAAAAAAAAAAAACAGACAGCAAAGTCTCATAATTAAGAAGAGGAATAATCATTAAAAGCCTTGTTTTTATGGAGACAATATTTACTGTTTACAATTATTTAATTCCAAGATTTCTTTATTTTTGTTGGTATTCAGTTTTTTTGTGAAAATATAAATAATGTTTATGGTAAATGCTTAAATATTTGTTGTCCATTGCTTACACTTATATTTATTGTTATTATTATTTACTTTTTTTTTTTAATTTATGATTTTCCTTTTTTTTATTGATGCTTTTTACTTTTGGAACATTTCTTGCATTTTTTCCAGGAAACAAACAATTAAAATTTTAAAATGTCTCGAAGAGTGACTGGGATATCAGGGTGATGCAGGAGTTATAGCTGATGTTAAAGCCACTTGAGCTGCGGTCACATCCGCCAAATATTTCGTTGAACATTTCGTTCAGACTCAGACAAAAATGTCGATGCATGGCCAAAAATATAGCAATCGTCTCTTTTTCCATAGATTATTCCATAGACCCAATAAATGAGTCAGAGAGTGGTGTGCCAGACTTGCCCCTGATAAGCGAGGTTAATCGATTAAAGAACTAAATACCCCAATACGTAGGTACATAAAATCATCTTGCAATTATATAACACTAAATGAAACTGGGTATATTTATTTTATTTGTATGCTAATGAACAATGCAACAAAATAGTTGAAATTAAATCAGTTTCAGTTCTGATTCGATTTAAACATCTTTAATATAATATTTCTATCAAATTGGTTCTTCCACACTCTCTATTAGAGCTTTCCTTATACAACTCCCTGTCTGATTGTTGCCTTTCTACTTCGAATATATTTTCAACGATTGATTTATGGCGATTACTTTCCGTTTTACAGCCAACGTCCAATTAAAACATACATAGTAGAGGAGTACGAAACGAATCGACCAATTTACCAAGGCAGACATCGAGATACATCTTTTTTTTTGGGATATGCCACTAGACGGGGCACAATCGAAAGAGTCAACTATGTATGAAGCGCGTAAATGGAGATCTCTCTCTCTCTCTCTCCGTTCAGGGTGAGAAGATCAAAATGTAAAAGTCAAATAAAAGTATAACGTCAAGAATTAACATTTTTTCACAGCAATAAATACATAAAAGTCAAAGATGTGTACACAAAAGAGAGGGGAACAGAGGCGTAACCCGAGAGGGGGATAGTGCCAGCTTGATTGGGCCGTAGCCGTTGCCGTTGCCGTTGCCGTTCCCCTGCTGGATCGAACATATGTGTAGATATCTATATGCATGACTTATATGGCATTCAATTTATAATCTTTTGCAGCATCTCCGCTGGATGCAGCATCCAGCATCGCCCTCTCCTCCATTGTCCAGCGCTAATAGAGACATACAAACGGCCAACTGGCAATTGATCCGGCAGTGCCATATCGAAAGACGAGACGCAACCCGGGGGCTTCGTTAACAGCGAAAAACTTTGAATGTTCGAACGTTTCGTTAGTTTTCGTCGGGTGGCCATAAACTTTTATTGGGCCAAAGACGAGGACAATGGGACGGGACGGCCAGCGAGCAGCTGTAAGCAGAAGTCAAGATGATTGGGCACATTATGCTCTGCCCAGACCCAAAACCCAGTCCCAGTCCCAGTCCCAGGCCCAGGCCGGGACTCTGGGTATCTTTCTTTTTAATGTCCATAGGGGTCGCTGCTGCGTTGCACGATCCTCCAGTCTTCGTCTCTTCCTCCTCCTGCTCTTCCTCCCATGGGTGCCAATTAAGATACGAAGAAGCGGTGCCTAGGGGGGGGGACGGATGCGAGACTGTGCTCTGCTCTGGACCCTATTAGCAGCCATATTGGTGCACACTGAGAGAAAAAAAAATATAGGTTTTATTTATAGATCTTTTTTTATAATAAACCAACCGAAGTAGAAGGAAAACGGAAAAAAAAATTCGCTAAATTTTAAATATTTAATTTTTTTTAATAGATTTAAAAAGGTAGTAGTGAATATTGTAATAAATATATATGTAAATTAAAATATCCATTTAAAAATGTTTCAAAACAGATACAAAAAAGGCGCTAAATTTTAAATATTTAAATTTTTAATAGATTTTAAAAGTTAGGAGTGAATATTGTGTTAACAATATGTATTAAAAATATCCAATTTTCAATTTCATTTAAAATTTTCCCTGAGAAAAAAATGTTTCCTCTTTTTTTCGCTTAGTGTAATCATAAAATTATTCCCCCGTTTCGTGAGTGATCTGAGTAAGATCACTCCGTACATTTTATAACCCCCCCACATACGACCTCCTCTGTTCCCGTTCCCCGCCGCTCCTGCTGCTGCTCCTACTCTTGCTGCTCCTACTCTTGCGCCGTCCAATGGCCCAACTGCTTTCACATGAAACCAGATACAGCCGACCATAAATCACTTGAGAGTGAGTGAGAGGATGCTGCTGCCCAATTCAAAGACATGCTGCTGCTGCTTTTTATCCATTTTTGAGAATGTCATGGCATTTCCAAAATGGCCGACAGGACACACTGAACACTGAAGAACATAAGCTGTGAATTCACCGTAATTTTGGCACAGCCCTGTGTAATGCAGTAGCTGGCAGCAAAGGGGATTGCGGCATTGCTGGAGTGCAGGAGTGCAGGAGTGGGACATCGAAGCAGTCGGCAAAAGTCAAACAATTTCGTTACGGCAGAGTGAGCAAAGGCCAGCGACCAAGAGGACGCAGCAGCAGCCCCAGGGAACGGGTTGAATTCCTCAAAAAAAAAAAAGCAACGCGGGGAAATATATATATATATCGGCATGTGCATTTGGCGTAACAAACAAATGCAAACACACACTCCGGGACTCCGTCCAACTGCAGTCCCAATTTCAGTTACCAATTTTTGTGTTTTTTTCGTTTTTAGCATGTAGGTGCGAAAAAAAACCGTTGCCGTCCTCCACTTCCTTCATATCTGCATCTGTATCGCCTTGGGTTTTCTGTGTCCATTTCTGGTTACTTGTCCCTCTGGGTTTTTGCAGCGCATCGCATCGCCTCTTACATAAAAAGTCAAAATATTGTCGGTTCCATGTGTGCAAACATAGTAACGCCTAAAGCGAAAAAAAAAAAACAAAACCAATTCCATTACGTTGCCTTTGCTGACAAAAGTTTTTAATCTTAAAACGTTTTTGGCCCAGGCCCAGGCCCACGTCTCGAATTGAGTTTCGTTGCACGGGTATCAAAATCTGGACAGGTTGTATATTTAACATTCGGCTTTGACATTTCCGATTTTGCTAATCGTGCTACGCTCTATAAATCAAACGCTTGAGAGCCTTCGGCTGGGTACAAACCAAAGAAACAGAACCTCACCGCCTATCCTCCTCTCCCTATCGATGTTGTCGTCTGGCACTTCAGATCGTCCGTCGTCTTGTTTGTTATGACGGTAGGTCGATGGGGCGCCAATTGAATGGGTTTCTAGTATTTCATACATACATACATATGTACATATGTACTTGTGGTATTTCATTCAAATTTGCTTAATTTAAGTACATACATAGAATCCAAATTTTATGGATATTTTATTCTACACTAAAGTAATTTTTACTGGGAAGACAAATGATCCTCGCTCATTTTTCCCTCAAAAGGTTGGGCAGTGCAGGTGGCTAGATTTCTAACTGAACTAACTAGACTTTAGTTAGCAACGAAAACCAAGTGATCGAACATACAGCTGTAAATATATGTACGTATGTATACTCACTCGTACATTCAAAAGAGAGCGCAAAAATGAGCGCAGTACATGTTTCTAGATCTTGAATTTGGGAGCGCACAAACTTTAGCTCAACAGAGACCATCCATCATTTTAAGCGCACTAGCTAAATCTGCTTAAACTTTTTGTTGATTTCTATTTTCGTGAACCTTTTCAGCACACACAGCAAACGTACACAAACACAACATAAGCCACACATTCCCAAATATACATACATATTTATGTATGTACATACAAACAGAGTCTCTATGAGAAACCACCAGTTAAACAAAAAAACAAAATGCTTAATTCCATCTTTATCCACAGGAAAAGCCTCAAGCAAACACTTATACAACATTTCTCCTTATATTAGCTGCAATCCACGTGTGTTTAATTGACTTTTTATGAACTTTAATTGCAAACAAAATAAATGTACACACAAACACACACACACGAGCTGAATGACAGCTCACTCGCCGAACAGTGTTATGCGTGAGTGCAAGTGAGCAGGCAATAGTGGCTGGCGAGAGCAATGGCTGGAGAGCGTTGTGCAAAGAGCGGGGGAGAATAATTGACAAGTTGCTCAATTGACGACGACGTTGTTGTTGTTGTTGCTGGCAGTAGGTGGAGCGTCGCGACGCGACCATTGTGAATGGTTAACCCAAGCAATTAACCCCTAAATAAAAAGATGAAGTTCTCGTGGTTGGTATTTTTTTGTTCATATTTTATTTAAATAGCTAAGCACATATACACACAGACATACATACATCAGATATAAATTAATTGCCGCCATAATTGAACTAATTAAATTATATGAACATGGTATACGTACATATACAATATATTTGTTTTGTTTGTGGGCAAAAACATTAAATTTATGTATTTTGTTTAGTTTGTTTAATTTAATTTTGCTTTTTGTGCTCAAATAATGCATTAAATGTAGTATGTATATTTTTAGATTACACTACAAGCTAATTGTTATTACGATATAAAAGTAATAAACGTTAAAACACTTTCTATGTAGATATATTTACACGGGGTGAAGAATCAAGTTTTCTTTATAATTAATTGCACAACAAGTTGGTGGAAGTTAGTTTTTGTCTCTTGTGCGAACTTGTACTAAATTATGTTAAGTATTTTTTCTCTTGCTCTTGCTCTTGCTTGCATTAACTTTTTGTAATCGTGTGGGTGGGGGGGACGGCTACAGTGAATAATTTGTTTTTCCTGGGCGACTTAAGAACTAGATTCATAGATATTTAGAGCTTACACGTTAAACATTTACTTTAAATTACTTTTTGAACAAAAAACAAACATAATACATACAAGAAGTGCGTATTGTGGGGGAGGGGGGAAAAGTATTTCAAATTTACATTAAACTGGAGAGCTTTGGAGGGGGTTTTTGCGTGTGTGCGCGTGTAGGGGCAGCAGCGTGATAACACCAGGAATATACAATCACAAAAATTAACAACGTGCAATATTCCAAGGCATCGCTGCGCCCACTCTGCACCATTCGCCCACTCATCTTAGGGGGTCACAAACAGTCTAACTGTGCAACCATAAGGGTTAAGCCAAATCCACTGCTAGAGCAGCAGCACTGTAGGCTCCTCCAACTCCTGCTCCTCCTCCCTCCTCGCTCGCTCACACCACCACCCCCACCCATTAGCGGATGCTGCTCGTGATGATGATCCATATAACTGTTGGTGTTGTTGCTGTTGTTGTTGTTGTGGATGCTGATATTGTTGGTATAGCACATTGCTGTCGACGCCGATGCAGAGGCAGCAGCGACCGCAGCAGTGGCCCCCTCATAATCATGTCACATCGACAGCGCACCGACGCCGGCCACCGCCGCAGCGGACATCTGTGCACTGTGCTGCTGCTGCAGCTGATGCGAATGCGCCGCTGCCGCTGCCAGCGAATGACTGTGCGCCGCCAGGTGCGGATGCAGTCGCATCGCGGGTATATTCATGGCCATGGGATTCATCGAGTGCAGCGTGTGCGGCAAGTGCAGGCCCGGCTCCAGTTTCGCCTTGGCGTCCATCAGCTGGCTGTAGTCTGTGTGCTGCACCCCGCCCATCACATTGGGGTCGCTGCCCTTTTTGTTCTGTTTGCGCTCCTTGGCGCGACGATTCTGGAACCAGATCTTCACCTGACGCTCGGACAGGGAGAGCGTTTGGGCCAGTTCGCTCTTGCGGCGGATGGTTATGTAACGGGAAGTGCAGTACTCCTTCTCCAGTTCCAGGCGCTGGAAATCGGTATAGACCACGCGATATTTGTCCTTGGTGCGGGTTTTGCCTGCAAAGAAGAAAGCAAGAAAATTGTTAGAAAATATCGAAAAAATTTTAAAAATTAATAATAATAAACATGCTGTAGGTTTAGCATCCAAAATCAAGCAAAATTAAGAATGAAAACCATGCAAAATATGAAAGATCACATGCGGATAGACTGTCGTCACTTCTTGCCTGACTGCTGGCACAACCAACAGCCAACCCACCCATCCGGGGGCTAAGTCAACGTGCCTCAACCTGGGATGGACGGATGGATGGGTGACTGGCGTCAGGTGGATAAACATGTTGCCTTCTCATCGGAGGGCTCATCTTGTTATAATAGATGACAATATTTAAATTATGATAGCCATAGAAAGCTGTCACATGCCATGGGGCGAGTGTGTGTGTGTGTGTGTCCCGGTGTCCCCCCAGCAACCATGCAAAGCGGTAAACATGAAAAATATTTCAGACAGAGCCGACAAACACATCAGAGTCAGTTCTGAGTAATGGAGCTGGCGCTGAGCTGAGCAATTTAGTCAATCAAAATTCAAATAAATGACGGAACAAGAAAAACTAGAAATTATACAAAACAAAAATACACAAATAATAAAACAGGACAAGAAATGCGGCCGAGGACTTTTAATACCCTTGAACCCTGATACATATTTTATGTATGAAATTCCTAATAAAGATTCATATTAATAGAAACTAAAACTTTTTGGCTTTGATTTTGGTTTGAACAAGAAATTGAAATTTGTTGCAAAAATCTAGTCAAAAACCTAATACCCCTCTGCAAAGGGTATCGAGCGAGTGGAGCAAGACTAAGGGAGATGAGAAATAGGCATGAAAAAGGCCACGGGATCATGCCATAGACTGCCTACGTGATAAGCAGCAACACCAACACCACCAGCACACCGGCATACGAGTATTCTTGGGCAAACAAGCCCATTTTGGAATGAGGATTTTGCTCTAATTTTTTAATGTACGATATGTGCTGCACGGTACGGTTACGGTTACGGTTACCTTCTCTTCTCACAATTAAAATCGAGCAAACAGACAAACAAACAAATATTTTCACAGATGATAAAGTTCAACCAGCAACAACAAATTAAAGGCAACGTCACACAGAGTGGTGGAGGTGGACTCCACCTTTGGTAGAGACAAGGTGAAAGAGTGCAGAGAAAAGTAGGTGTTAGAGACATTTGGATGGTCTGCAATTTTAATTTTAATAATCTGTGAGGCTAAGGGATGAATACACTGGCTAAACCAGGCAAAAGCTTCTTTGGGTAATTTTTATGTGGAATCCTTCCACCTACTCCAAGTTATGACTGGTCTTCGAATCAGGTGCTCTCTCTCGTTTAATCAGTGATTTAAGGCTCTCTAAGCTTCAATTGTTTTATTTCTAAACTCATTCTAAACTGTTTAACTCTTATGCTATCTCTGTCTGTCTGCCACACAGCTGGCACCGAAAACCGTTTGTTCTTGTGCTGCTCCTCTCTTATCTGCTCGCCTCTCGCTCTTTTATTTGTTCTTTACACTTTGTTTAGACGTGAATTTATTGCAGTCGCTCTTCTGCCTGTCTCTCTCTCTCTCTCTCTCTGTCTCTCTTTCGCTGCTCGTTTGTTTGCTCTAATGTGGCAATACCTTGTACTAGCACTACATAGTACTAGCAGAAACCCTCAAAAACTACGAATAATGTTAAGCCGTTTAGTTCCTGTGTTAAGTCCACACTTATAATCTCTTTTTTGCTCTATCTAATAAATTTCGAATTTTCAGTCTACCTTGCCATTTTTCCTCTTGCGCGTGTTCTTGTGGCTCCAAAAATGTACTGATAAAGTGGGCATGGCTCGCAGAGTGGGCGCAGGGCATCGCACCGACTGATAAACCAAACACATACACAGCCCCGAAAAAGAGAACGTGTTTAGACAGACTTGACGGATTTGAAGAAGTGCACAAATAAAGAGAGACAGAAAGAAACAACCAACCGCCATCAACAATATTATCAACTTGCTGAGGATTTACTGTGTAAATTCTAGAAAATAAAAATAAATATATTTTTGGATGATTTCGCAATCTGAGGTAAACTAAAATGAGCTAAGGTGGAAATAGAATTGTGGGTAAGGCATTACGTAAGAGGTTAAAGATCTTGAAGACTTTATTTCAAGGATAAAATATATAAGAAAAAAAAAAAACTATTGCGTAAATAATAGTTAAGAAAGGTTTTTTCTAGGCTTGAGAATTTATTTCCTGTGGAAGGATCTTTACAAATGACTTGTAAAATATTTCTGATTTCAGCTTAAGTCAGAGAGTTTATCTTGTGATATTTCTCAAGAAAACTTTTCCAAGAACTTAAGAAAATTTCTTATAATTTTAGTCTGCTTTTGGGAATATTCTTATAAAAAGTTACATTGCAAAAGACATGGTTAGTTTTTTGGCTTATAAATCGATGAAAATTCATCTAAAATCAATTTCAAATCCCTTTTAAGATCATGTAAATTCTTCTTTCCCAGCTAGTCAATCAAATTTTAGCCTAGTTTTTACCACACTATGACCCCATTACGTATCCCATGCCATGGCATCCATTTATCGTAGCAACCTCTATGTGGCTGTGCGCTGTACCACAACGGGGGTTATCTTTATCTTTGCCACAAGCACACATTAGCTTTATCTAGTTACCACTTTCAGGTCCCAATTTCTCACACCTGAAACGGAGCCAGCAGCCACCACGCAGGGCAAACAATGGAATCCGCACAGAATTAGAAAAGACAAACTGGAGCACAAGCACGCTCTCAAGGAATATGAGTGGGTGGCACCGCACCGCTGACCTTCACAGTCATAATCTAATAAATTGTATACGTATATTGTGTGCGATATATAAAACTATAAAGTCACTATATACCTCCACCCCATACTGAGTGTTTTATTGGGCCCCATAAACAAGGCCAAAACAAACATCATGAATGTAGATCAAGCAGTGGAGCTAATGCTAAAGTCTGCTGCTGCTGCTGCTCCTCCATACTTAGCCTAAAGCCAACTGTCTGAGTCGCCACTAAGATCTGCCTAACTCCTACACTCGCTACACTCGCTCTGGCTTTATCAGATAAGATTATGAATGAATGGCAAAAAAACAAAAAAAAAAGCAAAGAGGAACAACATCAAGAAAAACCTCGTCATTTATACAAATAAATTTCGTTTCAAAATCTTTCTGATATATATCCCCGGGTGGATATACTTAACAACATATATACGAGGCATATGTTGCTTGGGCTTTAGGCCATACAAATATATTTATTTGTAATTAAATAAAAATTGTGCGTCAAGGTGTGACATTTTTTATGGCTTTGTCACTGGGGGCCTCGTCATGTCTGCATGGTGTAAAAGGTTCATAATTTATATCAAATGCAGCTCTTGTGGTCGATATACGAAGTATTCATGGCTATAGCCGTGCCTTTTACTCGTATCGACGCGGGTCTCTGCTTAATTGAAAGTTTGATTTTCAACTGACTGGAGTTTGTTTGCTTTATATGTGTATATATCTCTCATTCTATATAGAACCATTTGTAATGATAGATTAGTGGTTGGTTGCTGGTGCTTTGGCCGTCGGCATAGTTCAAAAACTAAACTGTATTCCATCCAGTGTGCAGACGACACGCACTCTCCTAATCCCAGTTGAGGTCTATATCAATATCAATGGAGTTACAAACTGTAGAGTTTCAATCGAATCGACTGGCGGGGTATGTGTGGTGTGGTGTGGTGCGGTGTGAAACTTTGTCCAGATAAGCTTTAATGGTTGTTCGCCACTCATCGAGTGCGTACAATAATGTGATATAGGGCGGGGGGTACGCTACGGATAGTTGATTGGGTTCTCTCTCTATTGATTGCTAGTGCAGCAGGAGACACTGTGCGAAAATTGGGAATAAATAGCTATAGAAGGGAATTGCAGAACGAAGATGTTGGCATATTCAAAGGAAAGTAGCGAGCAGCAATTCTACGATATTTTTCCCTAGCTTTCTTTTGGGGTTTTTGGTAGAGTTTGAATAGACTTTGTAGAAACTTCCTATTGGTGCTCTGAAGGGAAACTCATTGGTATAAAATAAATTTAAAATATAAAATTTCTCTAGTATTCCGTTGCTTTCGTTTTGGCCGCCTACATTTCCGCCTTTCATAACCAACCTTGAGAGATCTCTCAGTGTAAACAATAATTCCCGCGCTGGGCCATCTTTAAACATTCACAAATCCCACTGTCGAGTCCCAATTGCTTATGGATCCATTTGACTTCCATAACTTCAAATGCCGACAAAGGAGTCTTGTTTGAACAGCAAAAACTCGACTTAAGAGCCATCCCATGGTAAATACAGAAATAGTAGAGCAAAAGTAAAGATCATTTGGGCTATAAATTATATCAGGTTGGTGCCTACCAACCTCTGCCTGTCTCCTCCGTCTCTGTCTCCGTCTCTGTCCTCTGTCCGTGTTCCTGTCTCTATTGGAACAGCTGTTGATTGCTGGGCAATTATGTGGTCTGCTCCCCGGGGAGAAATCACGGGCCAAGGACAAGAACAGCTACAGTTACAGTTACAGTTACGGCTGTACGGATGTAACAGTTACTGTTTGCGGTTAGTTACGGCTGCTAACCGTTAAGGGTCTTTCAATGTGTGGCAGTGGCAGTGGTGGTGGTTTGGTTTGTCCCGCCCCGTTCCCCGCTGCGCGTTAATTTGTCACTTGCAATGGATAAGCACTGTGTTGAGTAGCCCAACGACCGCCCGCCCGCCCAATGTGACATCTCTGTCCCTTTTGCCAGGCCAGACAGATAGCCGTGAAAATCTTTTGGGAGACATTTATTACCTGACTGGCGCACAAGTATTCGGAGTCTGTTCCGTACGAATTTAAACGTTTTGCGGGTGGCAAGTTAAAGCTTTTTTGGGCGCGAAAGTTTTGTTTCGACCCGTCGTACCGCAAGAGCAATTTCGTCTATGGCACCCCGGAGGATTGAACGGAACAAACAGAACAACAGCAACACTTGACTTTTCT